TTAAAAATCGTGACCATTGTTGGTTCAAAATCAGTTGCAATTTGAATTGTGTGGTAAGGCACTTGTGCATTGCTGAAAGCTTTTCTTACCAGTCCTTCTAAGTTCATATATATTAAAGTGTAGGATTCTGCTTCAGCATGCTGTCATGGCACTTGAAACCTGGAGGGGCCAAGACCCTGTGGGCTGTGCTACAGTATCTCTCCATGTTGATGACTGTGACCACCTATGAGGAACACTGGCTCCTTCCAGGCCAGAACCTGTGGATGGGCCTTGGAAGTCTGCGTTTAACAGGTTCTGCCAGTGGTTACTTTGTAGACAAGGTTTTGAGTCCCTTGTACTCCTTACAGGGGTGTCTAATCTTTTTTTTCCTGTCACTGCATATTGAAAGATAAAGAGCTATCTTCAATATTCAATATTGAATATTGGTATCAATATTGGTGATACCACTAATGAATATTGATGCAAAAATTACAAGATCCTAACAAATAGAATCCAGCAGCACATCAAACAAATTATACACCATGACCAGGTGGGTTTTATCCCAGGGTCTCAAGGCTGGTCCAATATATGGAAATCTATAAATATAATTCATCACATAAACAAATTAAAAAACAAAGACCATATGATTCTCTCAATTGATGCAGAAAAAGCTTTTGATAATATCCAGCATCCCTTCACGATCAGAACACTTAAGAAAATTGGTATAGAAGGGACATTTCCTAAACTGATAGAGGCCATCTACAGCAAACCCACAGCCAACATCGTACTGAATGGAGTTAAATTGAAATCATTTCCACTCAGATCAGGAACCAGGCAAGGTTGCCCATTATCTCCACTGCTCTTTAACATTGTAATGGAACTTTTAGCCATTGCAATTAGGGAAGAAAAGGTGATCAAGGGTATTGTATAGGGTCAGAAGAGATCAAACTTCAACTCTTCACAGATGATATGATTGTATATCTGGAAAACACAAGGGATTCTACTACAAAACTCTTAGAAGTGATCAAGGAATACAGAAGCCTCAGGTTACAAAATCAACACTCATAAATTGGTAGCCTTTATATATATATACCAACAATAGTCAAGCTGAAAAAATAGTCAAGAACTCTATTCCGTTCACAATAGTGCCAAAGAAGATGAAATATTTGGGAGTTTACCTAACAAAAGATGTAAAAGATCTCTATAAAGATAACTGTGAAACTCTAAGGAAAGAAATAGCTGAAAATGTTAACAAATGGAAAAACATACCATGCTCATGGCTGGGAAGAATCAACATTGTGAAAATGTCCATACTACCCAAAGCAATATACAATTTTAATGCAATTCCTATTAAAGCTCAATTGTCATACTTTAAAGATCTTGAAAAAATACTTCATTTTATATGGAATCAGAAAAAACCTTGAACAGCCAAGACATTACTCAGAAATAAAAACAAAGCAGGAGGAATCATGCTACCAGACCTCAGACTATACTATAAATTGATAGTGATCAAAACAGCATGGTACTGGCACAAAGACAGAGAGGTAGATGTATGGAACAGAATAGAGAACCAAGAGATGAACCCAGCTACTTACTGTTATTTGATCTTTGATAAGCCAATTAAAAACATTCAGTGGGGAAAAACTCCCTATTTAACAAATGGTGCTGGATAAACTAGCTGGCAACAAATTAACCACATCTTTCACCATTAACTACGATAGACTCTCACTGGATTAAAGATTTAAACTTAAGACATGAAACTATAAAAATACTAGAAGAAAGTGCAGGGAAAACTCTTGAAGAAATCAGCCTGGGTGAATTTTTTATGAAGAGGACCCCACTGGGCAATTGAAGCAGCATCAAAAATACATTACTGGGACCTCATCAAACTAAAAAGCTTCTGCACAGCCAAGAACACAGCAAGTAAAGCAAGCAGATAGCCCTCAGAATGGGAGAAGATATTTGCAGGTTATGTCTCTGACAAAGAGATAACCAGAATCCACAGAGAATTCAAATGTATTAGCAAGAAAAGAACAAGTGATCCCATCTCAGGGTGGGCAAGGGACTTGAAGAGAAACTTCTCTGAAGAAGACAGGCACATGGCTTACAGACATATGAAAAAATGCTCATCATCCTTAATCATCAGAAAAATGCAAATCAAAAAACTATTTTGAGATATCATCTAACTCCAGCAAGATTAGCCCATATCACAAAAATCCCAAAACCAGAGATGGCATGGATTTGGAGAAAAGGGAACATTTCTACACTGCTGATGGGAATGCAAACTAATACATTCCTTTTGGAAAGATATTTGGAGAACACTTAGAGAACTAAAAACAGATCTGCCATTCGATCCTATAATTCCTCTACTAGGTATATATCCAGAAGACCAAAAATCACACTACAATAAAGATATTTGTACCAGAATGTTTATTGCAGCCCAATTCATAATTGCTGTTGTGGAAGAAGCCCAAGAGCCCATCAACCCATGAATGGATCAATTATTTGTGATATATGTACACCATGGAATATTATGCAGCCTTAAAGAAAGATGGAGACTTTACCTCTTTCATGTTTACATGGATGGAACTGGAACATATTTTTCTTAGCAAAGTATCTCAAGAATAGAAGAAAAAGTATCCAATGTACTCAGTCTTACTATGAAACTAATTTATAGCTTTCATATGAAAACTATAACCCAATTATAGCCCAAGAATAAGGGGAAAGGGAGGGGAGGGGGGGAGGATAGGTGGAGGGAAGGGAATTGGTGGGACCACACCTAAGGAATGTCTTACAAGGGTACATGTGAAACTTACTAAATGTAGAATATAAATGTCTTAACACAGTAACTGAGAAAATGCCATGAAGGCTATATTAACCAATTTAATGAAAATATTTCAAATTGTATATAAAACCAGCACATTGTAAAAAAGGAAAGAAAGAAAGATAAAGAGCTATCTTGGGCCACACTAACTACAGCTGATTAGCCAAAAAAAAAAAAAAAAAAAGGTCCACACATACTTTTCTGACACTACAGATAAGCATGAAAAATCCTCACAAAATCAGCATGTGGCCTACAGGCCACTGCTGGACACCCCTGTGATGGTTACCTGATCTTATGCTGTTTTCCTTGACATCACTTGTCAGTTTCATGCCACTCTTCTCTCCTGCTCCTTCTGTAGACGGCAGACTTCAACATGCAGCTGATTTCTCAGCCGCACATCCTCCAGAGAAACGTTCACAGGTGGCCTCAGTGTTCTGATTTCAGTGGGGCTTAGCTAGGTGTGATTAGCTGACGCAACCGTAATATTCTTACTTTTTTTCTTTACCCAGCATGCTGAGGGTGGAGAGTGAGGGGGCTCAGAGGCTGGTTTCTGTTTTACAGAAGTTCAAAAGGTGATTTTGACATAGAAAATTTTAAATCTAGCTTTGATATTTATCCTGCTGTTCTATAATTTACACCAACTTGAAGTATTACCCTGGGTAGAGGGCTGTGGCATTATCACAGCTCACAGCAACCTTAAACTCCTGGGCTCAAGCAATCCTCCTGCCTCAACCCCCGCCCAAGAAGCTGGGACTACTGGCACCTGCCACAATGCCTGGCTAATTTTTCTGTGTTCAGTACACACAGGGTCTCATTCTTGCTCAGGCTGGTCTTGAACTCCTGAGCACCAGGGATCCACCAGCCTTGGCCTTCCAGAGTACTGGGATTATAGGTGTGAGTCACTGTGCCAGTGAAGAAACAATTTTTAAAAAATGTTTAAGTTAGGGTAAATGTACACCTAACACTTCCTGTGTACACTTGTAACTTTGACTTAAAATATATAAAACCATGTCTTAAATTTTCATATGATTATGGTTGCTACGGGAAAGTTACTGTTTTCCTTTGAAGATGACACGTTTGCTTTTTCATAATTACGTCTTTATTCTGATCTCTGTGCGTCTGCCGGGAAAGTCACCTCTCCCAATTTCACTGAGCAGGGTTCTTGGGGAGAGATTCACCTGTGAGTGGGTCTCGAGGTACCTTCTGCTGGGGCACGCTGGTCCCAGTGGACACACACGTGTCGTCTGCCTGGTTTCCTCAGCTGTGACCCATACTCGTGGCATTTGCAAGTTCCTTAGTGGCCTAGGCTGGGACCCTGTGGGGATGGTCCTGTGACTCCTCCATGGCGGGCTCATCAGGCTCTCGTGTCAAGGCTGCAGCGTGCACAGGGCGGATGTCAACTGGGGGCCTGGCTCTCTGGGGCTGGGGCCACACGGCTGTCACTCAGGCATGCAGTTGCTTGGCCGGCATGGGCATGTGTGCCCAGGGTCTGCTCAGGCCCCTGATGTGGGTGCAGGCTGCTCAGTTGGCCTGGACGGGGGTGTTTGCTGGGCAAGACTTTGTTGGGTCTTTATTGGAGGAGAAGGGCCATGGAGCAGGCCAGGGGTGTGTGTGGTGCGGGTGACATGCACACTCATTATTGGCAGCCTCAGGACCTCTCTGGCCCCAGGGAGGCTGTGTTGCAGTTTGGCAAACCCTGCAGGGCAGTTTCACCCTACAGGAGTTGAGAGGGGAGCATCAGGACAGCAGCCCGGCTGGCTTCCTTGCTGTGCAAGTTGGAGTCTCAGCTGATCCTGGATCCAGATGCCACACAGAGCTGGAGTTGTGGCATCAGCCACCCACATGGGTTTCACAGAAGGAAGATGGAGCCCACTCTATAGGCAGCGGCCGGGCCCAGGGAGTGCGGGTAGGGGAGGTGTGCACACTTGCGCGGCAGGGCCCACTCTACAGGCAGCAGCCGGGCCCAGGGAGGGCGGGTAGGGGAGGTGCACACACTTGCGCGGCTGTGCAGCTGCAGGGTCTCCGGCATCCCTGAGTTGGGCTCAGGGCTTGTGACTACTCCAGATCCTCCCGTAGTAAGGACAATAGGTGTTTGTGGTGGCACTAGGGCTGGTAGGGACCTTCTGCACACCTTTTACCAGAGTAAACCAAGTTTATTTTAGCTTTTAACACTGGTTATGATTGTACTTTTTTATAGGTGTCGTCTTTAAGAAATGAAAAACGAGGATCATCGTATCTCATCTCTGCCCCAGAGGGTGGTTCAGTGGGATCTGTGGACCAGCATTCTCAGGGCACAGGAGCATATTATGTGGAAACCTACTTAAAAAAGAAGCGTGTATACTAATTTTGGCGCTCTCTTTATCACCCGCTAAGGTTCTCTGCAGTATCTCTGCTGCTCATCACTGCCTTAATGACATTCAGAGTAGCCATACCCTTTAAACACGGGTTTATAATTTCCCAGAGGAAACTGCTGTGCAGCAGGCAGGATTGCCAAATAAAAAAATAGCAATACAGATATCAATCAGGACATTTCCTATCAGAATTACATGCATCTTCATCAGTGTGTTAATTCACAGTCCATTGGAGAAATTAACAATGTTCCAGTATTTCTTGTTTTATTAACCTGACCAGGAATAATTTTGACACCATCATAAATAAAAGTTTAAAGCAATAAAAGGGAAACAGTCTTGTTTCCTGAGCCTTAGAATGCATTTCTTGTAAGCCAATGTGCATTTTGTTTACTTTACCTAGGAGCAATCTCATTTACAGATTTTTAGGACTTTTCCTAGAACTGAAGGGTGCAAGTAGCAATTGAGATTAATGGTGACACTGACAAAATGCTCCCTGCAGACACAGTGATTACTCCCACATGAGCCATGCAGTATCAGACATAGTGACAGTGACCAGTGACCTCCAAAGTCTACAGTACTGCAGATGCTTTACTTTTAAGACACTGTATACCACTTACACCTTTGTGAGAGATACATTGTGTTTTCAGAAAAGCAGCTCTGGCATCTTACACAGGGCTGGGCAAACTGTGGTCTGGGGCCACAGCTGGTCCAACACCCATTTATGTGCTGCCTGAAAACTGAAAACATTTACATTTTTTAATGGTTTGGAGGAAAAAGAATTTATGACATGAAATTTATATGAAATCTAGCTTCCAGTGTCCATACATCTCTACTGGGACACAGCGAGGCTCCTGCATCTGTGTGCTGCCGTGGCACTCTCATGCTATAGCAGCAGAACTGAGCAGCTGAGAGACCCCATGGCCTGCAAAGCCTAAAATATTTACTGTCTGGCCCTTCAGAGAGACAGAGTGTGCTGACTCCTGATCTAATAGCACTCATTCCCTATTGCTTTTATTTCACCTAAAGACAGACTTTTAATCTTTGAGACAGACTTGGAATTGGCAGGAACCAGGTTGGGTGCTTCCTTTCGTAGCAGACTAGTGATCTAATTATTAGAATGAGGCTTATTTTGATTATCAAATGTTCCATTTCCATAAAACAGTAAAGCAGTCAATACCAGCCTTTCTGCAGGAGTCTTATAGAATAACAGTATTTATAACCGTTTTGAGCTAATAAGCTATACCTCATTTTCTGCTCTGTCTCAAATTCTCTGGTGTATATTAGGCTGAAAAATACCAGCTATTTAACCCAATTTACTTCTGAAGGAATTTCTGTTTAGTGTGTAAGACTTTTGACATCACCATTTCTTAAAGACTTTGGTATTAATGCATGTGAAACCTTTTGCCATCTAGAAATTTATAAGTTTATTCATTGTTATAAGATTATAATTGATCATACAGAATTTGGGGTCTCAATGATCGTAGCCTTTTTGAAATCAGACCATTAAATAGCTTGTTATTTGGGGGACTTATTCTTGACTCCTGTTTTAATTATGGAGCTGAGAATTGGCACATATGTTGTATGCTTTGTAAAGAATTTTACTCAGTCTAATTTATTGCATATACTAGCTTCTGTTGAAAAAAGCAAGGAAGTTTAAGATGATTTCTAAGAATTATACTACCTATGAATGGCTGATCAGAATTAGGCACCACTCACTACACAGCTGACGAACAGTGGCTCCTGCCCCTCCTTCTGCACCCTGTTGCACTTGGCCTCAGTGCTCAGCTGCACCTGCTACTGTGGAAACAGAGAACGGGCAGACAGATCCCACATGGGTGCTGTACAGCGGAAGAGGAGGCTTCTGGATCTCGCACACATGGCTCTGCTGCCCACACTGGCCTGTGCCCCACTATCACTGGACAAGACTGAAAAGTACACGTCAAGTAGTGTCAGGAATAAGGGCCACGTCTAGTCCCCTCTCCCAAAAAATCTATACTGTTATTTTTCTATGTAAGTGAATTGTTTGAAATGCTTTGAAAATGACATCTTAATATTAAAAGGCATATGCATGTGAAGTCTTTAGTATATTTATTTGTATAAAGAGTAAACAAAGTGCATATAGAGGGGCCACAGGTTTGACACGGAGATCTTGGTGATGTTGGGCTGTTGCACAAATTTAAAGGGCAAGTTTATTGTTGCCCTTGACCTAATCTTGAACTCCTCTGGGGCTCAACAGGTGAAAACTAATGATATTGAACAAATATTAGACAGCATGAACAAAAAGTTTTTTAGGCTCTTGGTCAGAAAGATGTTTATGGTTCACATTGAATCAGAGACCACATGTTTTGGATTACACAGCTACCCCCAAGCAAACTGAAAATGGTCTAGCAGACCTGAACTCCAAAGTGCTCCCAGCTGGGTCTTTTCTTTCAAGTCTTGCACTGTAGGGTGATGGTCAAAGCAGTGATGACCCGTGTGGAGGGTGGTACATATAGGGACAGCACAACGTATGTGGCAGATATTCTGAGTGCAAAGAGCTTTCAGAGCCACTGCTGGAACAGCTCACCCCTGAGTGGCAGAGTTATGTAATGATATACATGATTTTTCTTAAAAGCGTGTGTGATAGCATCTGAGTTCCGAGAGGCAGCTCTGATGAGAGATGCGTGGCTTAGGACGGTGCTGGAGTTGGCGCTGGCTTAGTTCTTGAGAGCTAACATGCAGCAGAGAATCTATCCCAAGGCTGTTCCTGTGTGTGACCAGCTTTCTCAAAAATGGGTACCAGTGGCCACCCAAGGGAACAGGAGCCAAGCCCCTGGAAAAACTACTCAAGATTGAAATCGTACTGTGACAGAAGTCATTTTGGAAAGAAACAACAGTATACTAGCTGGCATCTAATATTTTGAGAATGCATAGCCTATCACTGTGTAGATATGGATATTTGAGGGCAGGTTTGAGAATCTGTTAAGTTCATCAATCTTTACCTATGATTAATGTGCCAAGAAAACATTTCAGGTCAATGAGCAACTGGGAAAAGCAATCACTGTGAGACATCAGAAGTCTTCCTGTCTCAGTAAACCCTACCTGGTGTGCAGCTGTGGTGGTGAAGAGCAGATGAAACAGTGGCACAGTCTTTCCAAAAGAAGGAGGGATTGAGTGCGTTCAGATGTTGGGCCATCACTGTCACTATGTTACTTGTGCAAACTTACAGAGGAAGTCTTCACACACACTCAGAGCCACAGTGTGTTATATGCACACACTCAATGTTTGACAGAATTTTTAGACAGAATATAAACTTTTTTCATTAAAAAAGTTTTTTTTAAATGGCTTAGGTATTTTCTGGGGGACGAGGACTTGATACAACTGTCGAGCTTAAATGTTATTCATGCTTCTTATTTTAAAAGTGCTTCAAATCCTTCAATAAGGTTCTGAAAAGTTGTCCTATTGGATGGTAGGAATTCCCAGCATTTTCTCATAAGCTGATAAACCTATCAAAAGAAAAAAAAACGATGACAATGGTAAGAAAAAAAGATTAGATTTGGAGAACCATTTCTTAAAATATAGAATCAATAGTACAAAAATAATTTTGGACATGTAAACAACTCTTTATAAGACTAGAGAACAAGAATATTTGAATAATTTAACCCAGAAGATATGATACGACTATAATTCGTAATAGTATTTTAACATTTGAGAAACTCATGGGTTGAATGACATTCAAGAAAATCCAAGTCCTACCATAAAGCAGTTAGAGGGTGAAGCCGAATCTCAGTTTAGACTTGAATTTCCACTGGCTGTTCACACCTTCACCCACACCCTTGTGTGTGCTGAGTTCATTAAGGAGTTTAGTCTTACAGGCTCAGTTCACGTGAGTAAGTACTATAGATGCTATTGATAAAGTGGGTGAACTCACGCAAGTGCAGCTGTGTGCAGTGTCACGACAAGGCTGCATCACAGCAGGCTCCTGTGGGGCAGGCAACTGGACAGACCCCCAAGGCCCACTTCTGAGGGGAACCCTTGCTTTGAATATCACTGGTGGCCCTCCTCTACCCCAGTATCTGATGATTTCTCAGGGACCTGAAATTCAGCTTCAGAAACTATTGCAAAGGGAATTCCTACTTCATTTCACTAGTCTTCCCCTCCCATTGCTGCATAATTCAAGCTGTGAGAACATTATAAAAATTGAGTCTTATTACTGTGCAGCAGTCAATAAGTACCTCATCTGGACAGTTGGGTGGACATGGCAAGCGCTTTCCTTCTTTCAAGGTATTCACAAGTCTTGTGACTGTCATCTGGCCATGAGTGGGGCCTATCATTTTCAGGAACAACTATGTAAAATAAAATCAAACAAAATGTTTTACTGTGTACATATTTATACAAAAACCAAATAAAGTAGAATTGACTAGAAATTAAAGCAACAACAAAGAGGTTTTTCTCCTTAGTAAACTTAAATGAAAATTCAAAATCCTTATTAGCTCAATCTGTTTGTAATCAGGGTCTCAAACTCCAGCAACCAGTCCCTCTGCTGATCAGGAGTCTGTCCCAGAGAAGATGACCTCAGGTTGGGAGAGTGAGGCACAAAGAAGGTCCCACAAGCCCTCCAGGGGCATCCCCTAGACACCATCCCTTGTCACCCAAACATGCTCCTCAAGGCCAGGGTCAGCCAGGGAGCTCTGGCTTCCCTGAGACCAAGCCTTGAGGCACCCCCCCCCTCCAGATTGCTGTGGAGTGACAAGCATGTTAAATGGAGAAGAGGCACTTTCCAGTACAATACATTGGCTAGACCCCATTTAAAGACCGAATGTACAGAGCTAGGGGATGGACATAGTTTAGTTGGGTGCTAGAGTCAAACAAAGAGATGAGAGAGACTCACGGCCATGGGACTGGAGTCTGAGTCACAGTAAGTAAGCAGTTCATGCAGGGTGACCCCAAAGGACCAGACGTCAGAGGCAATGTAGAATTTGCATTGAATTAAGCATTCTGGAGCATACCTGAGAGAAAGC